TTGCAACCAATCAAAATCCTTCATGATGCTGATCAACCAATCAGATTTCCCGTCCACCAGGTGGACGGGAATCTCACACTTTAGATAGGTTTTGTGTCAGGCCCTATTCTGTGATTAGGGCCTGAACTTCAGGTTATGAGACTGAAGAACCTCGTCCTCAGAGTGAAGAAAATTGTCCTCCGAGTGAGGAAACTTGTCCTCAGAGTGAAGACCCTCGTCCTCAGAGTGAAGAACCTTGTCCACAGTGTGAGGAACCTTGTCCTCAGATTGAAGAACCTTGTCCTCAAAGTTAGGAACCTTGTCCTCAGATTGAAGAACCTTGTCGTCAGTGTGGGGAACCTTGTCCTCAGAGTGAAGAACCTTGTCCTCAGTGTGAAGAACCTTGTCCCCAGTGTGAAGAACCTTTTCCTCAGACTGAGAGACCTTGTCCTCAGTGTCAGCAACTTTGTCTTCAGTTTGAGGAACCTTGTCCTCAAAATGAGGAACCTTGTCCTCAGAGTGAAGAACCTTGTCCTCGGAGTGACGAAATTTGTCCTCAGAGTGAGGAATCTTGTCCTCAGAGTGAAGAAACTTGTCCTCAGAGTGAGGAACCTTGTCGTCAGAGTGAAGAACCTTGTCCCCAGAGTGGAGAACCTTCTCCTCAGACTGAGGAACCTTGTTCTCAGTGTCAGCAACTTTGTCCTCAGTGTGAGGAATCTTGTCCTCAAGGTGAAGAACCTTGTCCTCAGTGTGAATAACCTTGTCCTCAGAGTGAAGAAACTTGCCCTCAGAATGAAGAACCTTGTCCTCAGAGTGAAGAACCTTGTCATAAGAGTGAAGAATCTTTTCCTCAGAGTGAGAGAACCTTCTCCTCAAGGTGAGGAACCTTGTTCTCAGTGTGAATAACCTTGTCCTCATAGTGAAGAAACTTGTCGTCAGAATGAAGAACCTTGTCCTCAGAGTGACGAACGTTGTCCTCAGAGTGAAGAACCTTGTTCTCAGAGTGAAGAACCTTGTCCTCAAAGTGACGAACCTTGCCCTCAGTGTAAGGAACCTTGTCTTCTGAGTGAGGACCCTTGTCCTCGGAGTGAAGAACCTTGTCCTCAGTGTGAGGAACCTTGTCCTCAGATTGAGGAACCTAGTCCTGAAAGTTAGGAACCTTGTCCTCAGAGTGAAGAACCTTGTCCTCAGTGTGAGGAACATAGTTCTCAGAGTGAAGCAACTTGTCCTCAGAGTGAAGAACCTATTTCTCAGAGTGAAGAACCTTGTCCTCAGTGTGAACAACCTTGTCATCATGGTGAAGAACCTTGTCCTCAGAGTGAAGAACCTTGCCCTCAGAGTAGAGAACCTTATCCTCAGAGTGAAGGACCTTGTCCTAAAAGTGAAGAACCTTGTCCTCAGAATGAAGAACCTTGTCCTCAGAGTAAAGAAACTTGTCGTCAGAATGAAGAACCTTGTTCTCAGTGTGAAAAACCTTGTCCTCAGTGTGAAAAACCTTGTCCTCAAAGTGACGAACCTTGTGCTCAGTGTAGGAACCTTGTCTTCAGAGTGAGGGACCTTGTCCTCAGAGTGAAGAACCTTGTCCACAGTGTGAGGAACCTTCTCCTCAGATTGAGGAACCTTGTCCTGAAAGTTAGGAACCTTGTCCTCTGAGTGAAGAATATTTTCCCCAGAGTGAAGAACCTTGTCCTCAGAGTGAAGCACCTAGTACTTTGAGATAGGAACCTTGTCCTCAGTGTGAATAACCTTGTCCTCAGAGTGAAGAAACTTTTCCTCAGAGTGAAGAAGCTACTCCTCAGAGTGAAGAACCTTGTCCTCAGAGTGAACAACTTGTCTTTAGGGTGCAGAACATTGTCTCTGAGTGAAGGGCCTTGCCCTCAGTGTAAAGAACGTTATCCTCAGAGTGAAGAACGTTGTCCTCCGAGTAAACAACCTTGTCATCAAAGTGATAAACTTTATCCTGAGAGTGAAGAACCTTGTCCTCAGAGTGGAGAACCTTCTCCTCAGAGTCAGAAACTTTGTTCTCAGAGTGAGGAACCTTGTCCTCAAAGTGAGGAACCTTGTCCTCAGAGTGAAGAATATTTTCCCCAGCGTGAAGAACCTTGTCCTCAGAGTGAAGCACCTAGTCCTTGGAGAGAGGAACCTTGTCCTCGCAGTGAAGAACCTTGTCCTCACAGTGAAGAACCTTGTCCTCACGGAGAAGAACCTTGTCCTCAGAGTGAAGAACCTTGTCCACAGAGTAAAGAACCTTGTCGTCAGAATGAAGAACCTTGTCCTCAGAATGAAGAACCTTGTCTTCAGAGTGAAGAACCTTGTCCTCAAAGTGCGAACCTTGTCCTCAGTGTAGGAACCTTGTCTTCAGAGTGAGGGCCCTTATACTCAGAGTGAAGAACCTTGTCCTCAGAGTGAAGAACCTTGTCTTCAGAGTAAAGAACCTTGGAACCAGAGTGAGGAACCTTGTCCTGAGAGTGTGGAACCTTGTCCTTAGAGTGAAGAGCCTTGTCCTCAGAGTGGAGGACTTTCTCCCAAGACTGAAGAACCTTCTTCTCAGTGTGAGGAACTTTGTCCTCAGAGTGAAGAACCTTGTCCTCAGAGTGAAGGAACTTGTCCTCAGAGTGAAGAACCTTGTCCGCAGAGTGAAGAACCTTGTCCTCAGAGCGTAGAACCTTGACCTCAGACTGAGGAACCTTGCTCGCAGTGTCAGCAACTTTGTCCTCAGCGAGAGGAACCTTGTCCTCAAAGTGAGGAACCTTCTCCTCTGAATGAAGAACCTTCTCCTCAGAGTGAAGAACGTTCTCCTCAGAGTGAAGAACCTTGTCCTCTGAGTGAACAACCTTGTCGTCTGTGTGAAGAACCTTGCCTTCAGAGTGAAGAACCTTATCCTCAGAGTGAAGAAGCTTGTCTTCAGAGTGGAGAACCTTGTCCTCAAAGTTCGGAACCTTGTTCTCAGGGTTAGGAACCTTGTCCACAGAGTGAAGAACCTTGTCCTCAGAATGAAGAACCTTGTCCTCAGTGTGAGGAACTTTGTCCTCAGTGTGAGGAACCTTGTCCTCAGAATGAAGAATCTTGTCCTCAGTGTGAGGAACCTTGTCTTCAGAATGAAGAACCTTGTCTTCAGTGTGAGGAACCTTGTCCTCAGTGTGAGGAACCTTGTCCTCAGAGTGAAGAACTTTGTCCTCAGAGTGGATAATCTTGTCCTCAGAGTGAGGAACCTTGTCCTCAGGGTGAAGAACCTTGTCCTCACTGTGAAGAACCTTGTCCTCTGCGTAAAGAACCTTGTCCTCAGAGTGAAGACCCTTTTCCTCAGGGTAAAGAACCTACTGCTCAGAATGAAGACCCTTGTCCTCAGAGTGAAGAACCTTGTGCACAGAGTGAAGAACCTTGTCCTCAAAGTGAGGAATCTTGTCCTCAGTGTGAGGAACCTTGTCTTCAGAGTGAGGACCCTTGTTCTCAGAGTGAAGAACCTTGTCCTCATTGTGAGGAACCTTCTCCTCCAAGTGAGTAACCTTGTCCTCAGTGTGAGGAACCTTGTCCTCAGAGTGAAGAAACTTGTCCTCAGAGTGAAGAACCTTGTCTTGAGAGTAAAGGACCTTGTCCTCAGAGTGAGAAACCTTGTCCTTAGAGTGAAGAACCTTGTCCTCAGAGTCAGGTAACTTGTCTTCAGAGTGCAGAACCTTTTCCTCAGTGTGAGGAACCTTGTCCTCAGAGCGAAGAACCTAGTTCTCAGAGTGAAGAAACTTGTCCTCAGAGTGAGGAACCTTGTCCTCAGAGTGAAGAACCTTGTTCTCAGTGTCAGCAACTTTGTCCTCAGTGTGAGGAACCTTGTCCTCAAGGTCAAGAACCTTGTCCTCAGTGTGAATAACCTTGTCCTCAGAGTGAAGAAACTTGTCCTCAGAGTGAGGAACCTACTCCTCATTGTGAAGAACCTTGTCCTCAGAATGACCAACCTTGTCTTCAGGGTGAAGAACCTTGTCCTCAGAGTGAAGAACCTTGCCCTCAGAGTAAATAACCTTATCCTCAGAGTGAAGAGCCTTGTCCTCAGAGTAGAGAACCTTGTCCTCAAAGTGGGAAACTTATCCTCAGAGTGAAGAACCTTCTCAGAGTGAAGAACCTTCTCACCAGAGTGTGGAACCTTGTCCTCAGTGTGAGGAACCTTGTCATCAAAGTGAGGAACCTTGTCCTCAGAGTCAAGAACCTTCTCTTCAGAGTGAAGAAGAATGTCCTCAGTGTGAGGAACCTTGTCCTCAGAGTGAAGAAACTTGTCCTCAGAGTGAAGAAATTGTCCTGAGAGTGAGGAACCTTTTTCCGCAGAGTGAATATCCTCGTCCTCAGAGTGAAGAACCATGTCCTCAAACTGAGGAACCTTGTTCTCAGTGTCAGCAACCTTGTCCTCAGTGAGAGGAAACTTGTCCTCAAAGTGGGGAACCTTGTCCTCAGAGTGAAGAACCTTGTCCTTAGAGTGAAGAACCTTGTCCTCAGAGTGAAGAACGTAGCCTCATAGTGGAGAACCTTGTCGTCAGAGTGAGGAACCTTGTCCTCAGTGTGAGGAACCTTGTCCTCAGAGTGAAGAACCTTCTCCTCAGAGTGAATAACCTTGTCTTCAGAGTAAAGAACCTTCTCACCAGAGTGAGGAACCTTGTCTTGAGAGTGTGGAACCTTGTCTTCAGAGTGGGGAACCTTGTCCTCAGAGTGCAGAACCTTGTCCTCAGTGTGAGGAACCTTGTCCTCAAAGTGAAGAACCTTGTCCTCAGAGTGAAGAAACTTGTCCTCAGAGTGAGGAACCTTGTCTTCAGAGTGAAGAACCTTGTCCTCAGAGAGGAGAACCTTCTCCCAAGACTGAGGAACCTTGTCCTCAGAGTGAAGGACCTTGTCCTCAGAGTGAAGGACCTTGTCCTCAGAGTGAAGGAACTTGTCCTCAGAGTGAAGAACCTTGTCCGCAGAGTGAAGAACCTTGTCCTCAGAGTGTAGAACCTTGACCTCAGACTGAGGAACCTTGTTCTCAGTATCAGCAACTTTGTCCTCGGTGAGAGGAACCTTGTCCTCAAAGTGAGGAACCTTCTCCTCAGAGTGAAGAACCTTCTCGTCAGAGTGAAGGACCTTGTCCTCAGAGTGAAGAACCTTGTTCTCAGAGTAAAGCACCTTGTCGTCAGAGTGAAGAAACTTGTCCTCAAAGTGAAGAACCTTGTCTTCAGTTTGAAGAACCTAGTCCCCAGAGTGAAGAACCTTGTCTTCATAGTGAAGAAGCTTGTCCTCAGAGTGAAGATCCTTGTCCTGAGAATGAAGAACCTTGTCCTCAGTGTGAAGAACCTTGCCCTCAGAGTGAAGAACCTTATCCTCAGAGTGAAGAACCTTGTACTCAGAGTGGAGAACCTTGTCGTCAAAGTGAGGAACCTTGTCCCCAGTGCGAGGAACCTTGTCCTCAGAGTGAAGAACCTTGTCCTCCAAGTGAAGAACCCTCTCTTTAGAGTGAAGAACCTTGTCCTCAGTGTCAGGAACCTTGTCCTCAGAGTGAAGAACCATGTCCTCAGGCTGAGGAACCTTTTTCTCAGTGTCAGCAACTTTGACCTCAGAGCGAAGAACCTTCTCCTCAGAGTGAAGAACCTAGTCCTCATACTGGAGAACCTTGTCCTCAGAGTGAAAGACCTTGTCCTCAGGGTGGAGAACCTTGACCTCAGAGTGAAGAACCTTGAACTCAGAGTGAAGAACCCTGTTCTCAGAGTGAACAACCTTGTCCTCAGTGTGAAGAAACTTGCCCTCAGAGTGAAGAACCTTATCATCGGAGTGAAGAACCTTGTCCTCAGAGTGAAGAACCTTGTCCTCAAAGTGAGGAACCTTGTCCTCAAAGTGAGGAGCCTTGTTCTCAGTGTGAAGAACCTCGTCCTTTGTGTGAAGAAACTTGTCCTCAGAGTGAGGAACCTTGTCTTCAGAGTGAAGAACCTTGTCCTCAGAGTGGAGAACCTTCTCCAAAGACTGAGGAACCTTGTTCTCAGTGTGAGGAACCTTGTCCTCAGAGTGAAGGACCTTGTCCTCAGAGTGAAGGAACTTGTCCTCAGAGTGAAGAACCTTGTCCGCAGAGTGAAGAACCTTGTCCTCAGAGTGGAGAAGCTTGTCCTCAGACTGAGGAACCTTGTTCTCAGTAGCAGCAACTTTGTCCTCGGTGAGAGGAATCTTTTCCTCAAGGTGAGGAACCTTGTCCTCAGTGAGAATAACCTTGTCCTCAGAGTGAAGAAACTTGTCATCAGAGTGAAGAACCTATTTCTCAGAGTGAAGAACGTTGTCCTCAGTGTGAACAACCTTGTCCTCATGGTGAAGAACCTTGTCCTCAGAGTGAAGAACCTTGCCCTCAGAGCAGAGAACCTTATCCTCAGAGTGAAGAACCTTGTCCTCAGAGTGGAGAACCTTGTCCTCAAAGTGAGGAACCTTATCCTCAGAGTGAAGAACCTTGTCCTCAGAGTGGAGAACAATCTCCTCAGAGTCAGCAACTTTGTCATCAGTGTCAGGAACCTAGTCCTCAAAGTGAGGAACCATGTCCTCAGAGTGAAGAATATTTTCCCCAGAGTGAAGAACATTCTCCTCAGAGTGAAGCACCTAGTACTTAGAGAAAGGAACTTTGTCCTCAGTGTGAATAACCTTGTCCTCAGAGTGAAGAAACTTGTCCTCAGAGTGAACAACCTACTCCTCAGAGTGAAGAAGCTTGTCCTCAGAGTGAACAACCTTGTCTTTAGTGTGAAGAACATTGTCCTCAGAGCGAAGAACCTTGCCCTCACAGTAAAGAACCTTATCCTCAGAGTGAAGAACGTTGTCCTCCGAATAGAGAACCTTGTCCTGAAAGTGATAAACCTTATCCTGAGAGTCAAGAACCTTGTCCTCAGAGTGGAGAACCTTCTCCTCAGAGTCGGCAACTTTGTCCTGAGAGTGAGGAACCTTGTCCACAGTGTGAGGAACCTTCTCATCAGATTGAAGAATCTTGTCCTGAAAGTTACGAACCTTGTCCTCAGAGTGAAGAATATTTTCCCCAGAGTGAAGAACCTTGTCCTCAGAGTGAAGCACCTAGTACTTTGAGAGGGAACCTTGTCCTCAGTGTGAATAACCTTGTCCTGAGAGTGAAGAAACTTTTCCTCAGAGTAAAGAAGCTACTCCTCATAGTGAAGAACCTTGTCCTCAGAGTGAACAACCTTGTCTTTAGTGTGAAGAACATTGTCCTCAGAGCGAAGAACCTTGCCCTCACAGTAAAGAACCTTATCCTCAGAGTGAAGAACGTTGTCCTCCGAATAGAGAACCTTGTCCTGAAAGTGATAAACCTTATCCTGAGAGTCAAGAACCTTGTCCTCAGAGTGGAGAACCTTCTCCTCAGAGTCGGCAACTTTGTCCTGAGAGTGAGGAACCTTGTCCACAGTGTGAGGAACCTTCTCATCAGATTGAAGAATCTTGTCCTGAAAGTTACGAACCTTGTCCTCAGAGTGAAGAATATTTTCCCCAGAGTGAAGAACCTTGTCCTCAGAGTGAAGCACCTAGTACTTTGAGAGGGAACCTTGTCCTCAGTGTGAATAACCTTGTCCTGAGAGTGAAGAAACTTTTCCTCAGAGTAAAGAAGCTACTCCTCATAGTGAAGAACCTTGTCCTCAGAGTGAACAACCTTGTCTTTAGTGTGAAGAACATTGTCCTCAGAGCGAAGAACCTTGCCCTCACAGTAAAGAACCTTATCCTCAGAGTGAAGAACGTTGTCCTCCGAATAGAGAACCTTGTCCTGAAAGTGATAAACCTTATCCTGAGAGTCAAGAACCTTGTCCTCAGAGTGGAGAACCTTCTCCTCAGAGTCGGCAACTTTGTCCTGAGAGTGAGGAACCTTGTCCACAGTGTGAGGAACCTTCTCATCAGATTGAAGAACCTTGTCCTGAAAGTTACGAACCTTGTCCTCAGAGTGAAGAATATTTTCCCCAGAGTGAAAAACCTTGTCCTCAGAGTGAAGCACCTAGTATTTTGAGAGAGGAACCTTGTCCTCAGTGTGAATAACCTTGTCCTGAGAGTGAAGAAACTTTTCCTCAGAGTGAAGAAGCTACTCCTCATAGTGAAGAACCTTGTCCTCAGAGTGAACAACCTTGTCTTTAGGGTGAAGAACATTGTCCTCTGAGTGAAGGACCTTGCCCTCAGAGTAAAGAACCTTATCCTCAGAATGAAGAACGTTGTCCTCTGAGTAAAGAACCTTGTCATCAAAGTGATAAACTTTATCCTGAGAGTGAAGAACCTTGTCCTCAGGGTGGAGAACCTTCTCCTCAGAGTCAGGAACTTTGTTCTCAGAGTGAGGAATCTTGTCCTAAAAGTGAGGAACCTTGTCCTCAGAGTGAACAATATTTTCCCCAGCGTGAAGAACCTTGTCCTCAGAGTGAAGCACCTAGTCTTTAGAGATAGGAACCTTGTCCTCGCAGTGAAGAACCTTGTCCTCAGAGTGAAGGACCTTGCCCTCACAGTGAGGAACCTTGTCCTCAGAATGAAGAACCTTGTCCTCAGAGTAAAGAACCTTGTCGTCAGAATGAAGAACCTTGTCCTCAGAGTGAAGAACCTTGTCCTCAGAGTGAAGAAACTTGTCCTCAGAGTGAAGAACCTATTTCTCAGAGTGAAGAACCTTGTCCTCAGAGTGAAGAACCTTGTCTTCAGAGTGAAGAATATTTTCCCCAGCATGAAGAACCTTGTCCTCAGAGTGAAGCACCTAGTCCTTAGAGAGAGGAATCTTGTCATCGCAGTGAAGAACCTTGTCCTCACAGTGAAGAACCTTGTCCTCACAGAGAAGAACCTTGTCCTCAGAGTGAAGAAGCTTGTCCTCACAGTAAAGAACCTTGTCGTCAGAATGAAGAACCTTCTCCTCAGAGTGAAGAACCCTGTCTTGAGAGTGAAGAAACTTGCTCTCAAAGTGCGAACCTTGTCCTCAGTGTAGGAACCTTGTCTTCAGAGTGAGGTCCCTTGTCCTCAGAGTGAAGAACCTTGTCCTCAGAGTGAAGAGCCTTGTCTTCAGAGTAAAGAACCTTGGAACCAGAGTGAGGAACCTTGTCCTGAGAGTGTGGAACCTTGTCCTTAGAGTGAAGAACCTTGTCCTCAGAGTGAAGAACCTTGTCCTCAGACAGAGGAACCTTCTCCTCAGTGTCAGCAACTTTGTCCTTAGTGTGAGGAACCTTGTCCTCACAGTGAGGAATATACTTTGTCCTCAGAGTGAAGAACCTTGTCCTCAGACTCAAGAACCTTATCCTCTGAGAGAAGAACCTAGTCCTCAGAGTGAAGAACCTTGTCCTCAGTGTGAAGAACCTTGTCCTCTGTGCGAAGAAACTTGTCTTCAGAGTGAAGAACCTTGTCCTCAAAGTGAGTAACCTTTTCCTCAGATTGAAGAACCTTGTCCTCAGAGTGAAGAACCTTGTCGACAGTGTGAGGAACCTTGTCCTCAGAGTGAAGAACCTTGTCCTCAGTGTGAAGAACCTTGTCCCCAGTGTGAAGAACCTTGTCCTCAGACTGAGAGACCTTGTCGTCAGTGTCAGCAACTTTGTCTTAAGTTTGAGGAACCTTGTCCTCAAAATGAGGAACCTTGTCCTCAGAGTGAAGAACCTTGTCCTCGGAGTGAGGAAATTTGTCCTCAGAGTAAGGAATCTTGTCCTCAGAGTGAAGAAACTTGTCCTCAGAGTGAGGAAACTTGTCCTGAGAGTGAAGAACCTTGCCCTCAGAGTGAAGAACCTTGTTCTCAGACAGAGGAACCTTCTCCTCAGTGTCAGCAACTTTGTCCTCAGTGTGAGGAACCTTGTCCTCACAGTGAGGAACGTACCTTGTCCTCATAGTGAAGAACCTTGTCCTCAGAGTGAAGAATCTTATTCTCTGAGCGAAGAACCTAGTCCTTAGGGCGAAGAACCTTGTCCCCAGTGTGAAGAACCTTGTCCTCAGACTGAGAGACCTTGTCCTCAGTGTCAGCAACTTTGTCTTCAGTTTGAGGAACCTTGTCCTCAAAATGAGGAACCTAGTCCTCAGAGTGAAGAACATTGTCCTCGGAGTGACGAAATTTGTCTTCATAGTGAGGAACCTTGTCCTCAGAGTGATGAAACTTGTCCTCAGAGTGAGGAATCTTGTTTTCAGAGTGAAGAACCTTGTCCTCAGAGAGAAGAACCTTGTACTCAGACAGAGGAACCTTCTCCTCAGTGTCAGCAATTTTGTCCTCAGTGTGAGGAACCTTGTCCTCACAGTGAGGAACGTACCTTGTCCTCAGAGTGAAGGACCTTATCCTCAGAATGAAGAACCTTATCCTCTGAGCGAAGAACCTAATCCTCAGAGTGAAGAACCTTGTCCTCAGTGTGAAGAACCTTGTCCTCTGTGCGAAGAATCTTGTCTTCAGACTAAAGAACCTTGTCCTCAAAGTGAGTAACCTTGTCCTCAAAGTGAGTAACCTTTTCCTCAGATTGAAGAACCTTGTCCTCAGAGTGAAGAACCTTGTCTTCAGAGTAAAGAACCTTGTCCTTAGAGTGAGGAACCTTGTCCTCAGATTAAGGAACCTTGTCCTCAGAGTGAGGAACCTTGTCCTCAGAGTGCAGAACCTTGGCCGCAGAGTGAGGAACCTTGTCCTCAGAGCGAAGAACCTTGTCCTGAGAGCGAAGAAACTTGTCCTGATACCGCAGAACCTTGTCCTCACTTTGACGAACCTTTTCCTCAGAGTAAAGAACCTAGTGCTCAGAATGAAGACCCTTGTCCTCAGAGTGAAGAACCTTGTGCTCAGAGTGAGCAACCTTGTCCTCAGTGTCAGCAACTTTGTCCACAGTGTGAGGAACCTTGTGCTGACAGTGAGGAACGTACCTTGTTCTCAGAGTGAAGAACCTTGTCCCCAGAGTGAAGAACCTTGTCCTCAGAGTGAAGAACTTTGTCCTCAGAGCGAAAAAACTAGTTCTCAGAGTGAAGAAACTTGTCCTCAGAGTGAGGAACCTTGTCGTGAGAGTGGAGAACCTTGTCCTCAGACTGCGGAACCTTGTTCTCAGTGTCAGCAACTTTGTCCTCAGTGTGAGGAATCTTGTCCTCAAGGTAAAGAACCTTGTCCTCAGTGTGAATAACCTTGCACAGGGCGAAAAAACAGATTTGCACAATGCTTTGCAACCCGGTGCAAAGGTGCCATTGCCGTAATCGCATCAAATTTGTACGGTTGCAAATATTTTGGCAAATTTAGAAATCAAATTATGGACGAAAATACCCACAAAGTCACTTGTGCAAATGAAAGGTAATTTGAGCCAAATTTATCCTATACCCATTCCCTCTCAAAAAAGAGAATTGTATTTACCAATATGAGGGTAAAATTCTATTTACCAATTTGCTTTCCAAATTTGAACAAAATTTGCACAATAGCAAAT